ATTTATTTCCAGTGGACTTGCTCTTTATTGTGGAACATTTTTCATTGTAGGGCCATATGCAGCTAAAGAGATGATGATGTGGACTCAGTCGGGATATTTCAACGACTCTCTACTAATTCGTACTGAACATGAAGAACGATTTCACACTCTCGGCGAATGGACTCGAGTTTGTGGTGGCAAGGTGATCTCAATTAATGTTAAAAGCCCAGCTTTTGATTTAAAAACGTTGGAGTTGCTTAATTGCGCTTGTGTACACCGCATTGCGTTAGGCGTCATGTGCAATACGCAATACACTATGTTACCCTCGCGAATGAGCATCGTTTTGTATCTGCTGGACTATGCCAGCCCAAGGGTGTCAAAATAATGATAGAAGCACGTAAAGGAGAGCTGCTGTCCATTGCAATATCAGTTCGTTTTTTTCAGTTGCGTGCCGAATATCTCTAAGCGCCTTTTGTCGTCAGTTTCAAGAAATCGATTAAAATTTTCGCACTAGCATCTGTCTGTTTTTTATGAAAGGAAGTTATTAATAGCAAACTGAATGATCGCGCTCTTCAAAGTTTTCTATCGCTACAGTTTAAAGATAACATCAGATAATAGAGTTTCACACTGGCATTCTTGGGGACTTTCGAGAGAAGTAATCCACGAATGTGTGTATGGAATGCTCAGTGGAAATTCCAACCTGCAGTTGTGAGCAACGGTTTTGCATTTGTCCGATAGGTCTCTCAATGGATAAGAGGTTTGGGAGTAACTGAAGTCGTCAATTTGCTTGGGTTATTTTTTTATTTGTTGTCTTCCTATGTCGGGAGCTTAATTTCTGTTTGTTTTTAGGTACCCTTCGTGCTTCCGGTAGTATCTATGGAGTCCCTCGTCGGTCCAATGGGCCCTCGTCTAAATCCTTTAGTGATTGGAATGCTCCCACCCGGCCTACCGCCTCCATTTCCCCCTCCGGTGCATGGAAGGTAATAAATTTTAAGTTTTTGAACTAGTGTTCAATGAGTTTCTTGTTTTTTGTTTATGTTCTTCTTCTTTTTTGCGTGAAAAGATAATCATTTCTGCCGGTCTTTATGATTACAAAATCCGTTTCTCACTCCACACTAACATTTTGTGTGAGCGCAGAAGTATGTTTGAAAAGAAGAGAACAAGTTTTTACGCCTAGAGTACAGGATGCGGTGCACTAAAAGAGAACAGAGTGGAGAGCATTTGTCACTTCTTCGTGAAACATATGATCCCAGCTTCTCTGTGGTGCTAATTTCTGGAAATCAAATACTGCAGCGATCCACAGTTACCTGGCAATCAGTCTGACGAAATTCTTTATTCACGATAGCTTCTTCTTTGCAAAACGTATGACTTCTGGAGTGGTTTTGCTGATAAAATTGACCAGAGAACTAAATATTATACATACTTCGAATATGAGTTCGTTTCAGTGAGAGTGTCAGTGAGCTGTCGTTTTTTCATGTGGCTTCAAAACGAGTTCTTGAACTGTTATACTCGGTAGCACCCTAATGGTGAGGCCAAAAAGCAGCACTTCGTTAAATATTCATCCGAAAAGCATTAATTGGCAACTGAGGATTCCCTAGATTTCGTGCTTCCTTAGCTATCACAATTTCTCAGAATTTTTTTCGTTCAAGATTCACCCACTTCGTTCCCGGCATAGCTCCTCCACAAGCTCATCATCAACCACCTATGACTCACAGCTTGCCACCATCGGAACCCCTCGATGCAGGAAGCAGCCTCTCGCACACTCCTGATAGCGAGCAAGAGGTAGTTTTGTGAATGTGAAGTATGTTCTTTGAGGGTAATTCCAGTATACATTTCTAGATGTTTAACCATACTAAGGCACACAATGATGCGAACACGCTTGTACCAAGCCTTCGCCACATGGCTGTGTCTACTACTGAACCACCAGAGATGGTATCTGTGTCGGTTGGAACAGATTCCCCTATGGTTCGCGATGCAGGTTGTCAAACTACTCCACTTATCGTAAGTTTTCCATTCTCAGATTCAGACCTGCGGTTTTCTCTTAGTTTTTCTGGAATGAAGGCTGGCAGTAAAATGCGCTGCTGGAATACATTCCTCTGTTGTCCTTCATTTAACCCTCTTTTCCACTATTCTTACGCAAAAATTTTAGAACTGTTCGATGTGACTAGTTGTAAAAGTAGCAAGGCTGGCGTTTAAGGCCAGATGATTGTTTCCTGTCATACACTCCGTTGCAAAACCATTCGACATGCCCCATACCTTTCAATCAGTCGTTGAGTCGATGCGTACATCTTCGATCCGTTGGTCACATATTAGGTTGTCTCGAAAGTTCGTGCGTATTTTTTGGATCTCATGCCACAAGCTCCTTCAACAAATTCAAAATGTGTTCACGTAGGCTGTGGATAGGGCACACTGTGCAGTAGCTTATACCCGAATCCTGCCCACCATCGTCGCCTTCTTCGAGTTCAAAGTGGAAAGAGAAAAGAGCTATGTTTTTCGCGCTCTGACTTAAGCAGCTCTACTGAGCCACAAACCGATTGAAGCCTGAAGCGGCATCTGCATCGCGATACATCTCCTCGCCCTCACCAACAGTGAGGTATCAGAATAGCTGGATCTTCTCTGCCCAGGAGACTACAGCCGGTAGAAAAATCCACGTTCAGAGAGGCCATCAGTGTCGGATTTGGAGAATCTGTGCTCTCTCGTGGGAGTCACTCCACACGGGGCTACCTGCTTTGTGGCAACCACATCCTGGTGTTCCAGATGCACAATGCGTAGAGGTTCTCGCTCCTTCGTAGAATGGTTGAAGCCTCACCAAAGATTCCCTCATGAGTTGATCACTGATGACAGGAGTGCGGCACGAGTCCCGTCTACAATTTGTGTCCAGCTCCATCCGTACGCCCTGGTTGAACAAAGCTACTACTGCAGTTGAGAAGCTCAGGTTCCATGACAACCACACCTAGAATCTCCAGGGACTAGATCGGACAGAAGAGGGTGAAAAGTGAAGAAATTCACCACAAGGTCGTGCTCCACCTCTTTTGGAGCGTTATCGAGTAAGCCACTAGAGACATGTCAATCATTATAGATATGAATTCACTCAAGTGTAGGGAGATCAACGGCAGAGACTCACGGTGAAACCCCAACAAATGTCGTTAAAACTCGAAAAAGTGTGTACGCTCCACAACACCCGAGGCCACACATTTCGATAATGAAGCGATTCTGAATATCGAAGCCCAGCTGAAAAGGCCTACCACATTCATCGTGCAGCGGTAGTCATTCTCTTTCGGAAGACATCTGCCCTTTCTGCTCAGCCGCCTTCTTGACGACAAAAAATACGATTCCCATTAGCACCTCAAAATCGACCTCACTGCCTTTTTCAGCTCATAACTGCCAGCCCTTTGAGAGTTAAGTTGCCAATCTTTGGTTGGATGTTGGTAACAAGTCACTGATAGTGGTGGTACATATAATGATGATAGGTTGCACACGTGCTTGGAATAGTGCAGGCTCAAAAATAAGTTCAAAATACGCACGAACTTCTGAGACAACCTAATAGTTCTTACTGTCAATACGTTTACTATATAGTCAAGCGCTACTCAAAGATTACGCACGGATCTAGGAAAGGGCCTCAAGGTAATAGCGTCTCATGGCGAGCTCGTAGGCTACTTATCTACACCCTGCACTGTTACTATTGTAAAGTGTTGCGGAAAATTTTTGCTGTAAAAAAAATCGTCAAGATCTCTGCTATGTCGTATAGTTTTACAACAGAGTGCATTTCCATTCGAATTTTTATTAATTCCTGACAGGGTCAAATTAGCAAGTATATTTACTCTTCAAAAGGGAATTTTTCAGGTTGCTGCCAAGGATGCTGCGCGTATCCTCTCCGAACTACTTAATCAAGTTGTTCATGTAACGTAATTTTAATGACATATACGTATGCCATTTCTGCTACTGCTCCAATGCTGCGACTTTTCTGTTTTTCTCCCTACTGCTCCGCACATTTTAAAGGACTCTTATTGTTATGTTGGTTTTATATATCAATATTCATGGCGTAATTCAAGTTATCGGTGGTTTGCTGCTCCCTATCAATACGTGACATGGAAATTATGAAATCCATCCGTTTTCTGTGTAATCAATCATTCGTCGTCTCTTATGGCCATTACTTTGAAGTGGACAAAATATTTCGATCCGTTACTTTTTATAGGCAAAGTATTCGCACTGAGTTTATGAATTTTATCTTAGGTATTCGTTTTTTTGTAACGTACGCAAGCAAATTGTTACATAGTTAATCATTCGAAATATGACAATCACTTTAATTGAAATAGCGCCTTATTGTTATCCTATTCTCTTGTGGCCGTTCACATGTGTCCTTATGGCTGTTCGAGAATATAATGTCATTCGAATTTGCTTTCTGATGACGGTGCATTTCTGCTGATGTTGCTCGTCTTTACGAGGGGATGTGTGATAGACCTCATCGCCCACCCGTTGCTGTCCTTTCAGGGCGATTGCTTTACATACGGTTGTAGATGGACTCAACCTTCATCGCTCTTTTCCTTTATTAAAGAAAATAGCCATTGCCGTGTTTTCGATCGACCGCAATATCTGTAGCTGATCGCCAGCCGACTATGCTTATTTCGTATGGCATAAATCTGAAAATAACTGTTGAAGGTGGTTTGTTTTTTATTTTTTATATGCATGGTACACGAGTTTAGATATTCTTATTTTATTGACCTCTTCCCATCATTCTTTATGTGGTCCTCTCTATTTCCTTGTTCTGATCCATACTGATCCTACTGTCAACTAACCAAAAATATACTTCTTATGGGCTCGCCTACTCTCGTCGTCTCATGCTCTACACACCTGTATATACTATACTTACTGTTCACTCTGTCGCTATATCTTTCTCGAGCTATACTGACTCCTCACGGAAAGTAGATGTTGGAAGTCGCAGTTTTTGCTATCTCGTGTCAGCTTCTTCTCCGTATTCTTCTCCCCGCACTCTGACAACGTTCTTCTTTGTAACCACAGTAAATACCATCATCTCGCACATAGATCTTCTCATAATTACTCTTCGTCTCTCCTACGATCCACGATGACCTCGTTCTCTACAGTTTCTGCTACACATCATATACCGCTTAGCAAGTTGGATCTACTATTCTACGCGGTCCTCGCTAGCACTTGAATCTAGTCTTGAGTAGTACCGGTCTATATGGCATCAGTATCTGACCCTGACTCCGTCCTCCTTATATTCAAAGCAAAGCTCTCTCTTGGCTCGCAGTACGTAGATCTAACTCTTCTGCCTCTCTTCTCTTACTCAACTTCTTATGTCTCGTCACCGTTACAAGCTGCTCGCCCTGTTGGATCCACCGTACTTCAGCGTTTGACCTCTAGGCTCACACAAAGTCCTCTCTCGTCCTCACTTGCATTTCCTCTATTTCGCATCTTTTGACGTGTCATTCTCTCGTGCAGTCCGCTCTCTCTTATCTTCCCCTCCCTTCTACCAATAACTCATTCCTTCTCTGCAAGAGGTGCTCAATTTGCGAGCAAGGCGTCATTCAGAAAATTTCGCTAAGTTGTTGCGTAGCGGGTGGCTTGTCTGGACGTTATGTAAAGCACACTGAAAAACAATTAGTAGTCATGAATATACTTAAAGTGAGAAAGCTATGTATTCGCCTCGCTCTTTATCGAGGAATCACTGCTGCGTTCGTCAACTTCCTAGGCTTATCACTGGCTTGAGGTGGATGAAATAGAAGCGCGGGGTGGTGCGAGGAGGGAGGGGGGGGGGAATGGCGATTGGCGCGGTGAACAGCGATCGCGAGTCTGCTCGAAACTTATTCGGCGAGCGGAGTTCGCATTTAGCTCATGGAGTGGAGAGGTCGCAAACTCTGGGACCGTGGGAGGAAATCGCACCGGTGACATCAATTCACTGCAGAGGTAGAATTCAAACGGCGCTGAGTAAGAGAGGGCAGACATGGGAGAGAGAACGAGTTTTGTGGAAAACATTGATAATGATTCGTTTGACTGCTTCGTATCTTCCACAGATCGATGGAATGAAGCACAAGCTTGCCAGAGGCTACAAGGAGGATAACCAGTATTTCAATTTCATACGGTGAAAATGAATCTGAACACATCTATAGGCTTAGCTTTGCATCACTACCGGGCAGGAACTTTTGAATGGCTAGCTTCCACAGGTCATAGCAATAAGGAGTAGACTTTCAAATGCCTTTGCTACTTCGAACCACAAGTGCGAGCGTGGCGCTTCCCAAAAGCGGGAATTAATGGCGGCAACTGTGCTTTAAATTCGATTCATCACAGGCGAAAATTGTTCTAGACGGATTTCGATGTATTCGGATTGAATATAAGAGCAATGAAATACAACAATATGAAAGGATGTCTCGTGGAAGCTGAAGCGTTATAGAATTTCAGAGAAAAGCCAGCTAGTTTTTGAAGGAAAGTATTTCATACAAGCATAAATTGCGCGTGTGGCATTAAAAAAATTATCAGTGATATATTAGAAAAAATTAATTCTTTTGAATGTCTATTTGCTTTCACCCGCCGAATACAGGCTTTCGTGGTGAAGGAAGGATATGGCCCTGCCAAAATCTCAAAAATCGAAGTGTGGGCTCAAAAACCAAGGAGAAAATGAATGAACGGAACGGGATTTTTTTTCTAAAAGTGGGATCGAGCACGTATTAAAAAGCGCATGTTCTGTACTTTATTATGGTACTAACAGTTGAACACAGAAATGAAAAAGAAGAAAGTTATGGTTATCTAGAGCAAAAAAAAACCAGCATTTGCGCGAAGCAGAGTGCGAAAGGGTAAAGCGCGATGTCGAAAGCTTTAGAGAGGATCAGCGATATCGGATACTGACAGAGATCAGCTGAGGGTTTTGATCAAACCAAATCTGCAAAGAACTGTGGAAAAATCCGCTTCTGAAGGCGTTACTGAAATGGGGCTCTCAAACATAGAGGTAAAGGTAAAAAAATTCAAAGAACTTGATAAGTGGGTGCCGCTAACTCTTCTTTCAGTCCCATCGCGCACTTCTACCGATACACAAGTTGAATCAAGTGAGCTACGAAACTGTGGTGCAAACATTTTGTGCACTAAATCTTTGGCCTACTAAATGTCACTTTTGCGGCTATCTGAACCGTCTTCCCAAAGAGATCAAGCAATGCAATCCAACATGGTGGTGAAACTGCTTTCGCCGAGCTCTTCATCTACGGAGCTACAGCACTTGCATCATCTGGCTCACTTAACTCACTCCTTGTTGGCGAAGGTATGGGGATTCTAATACTTTTTTTTCGTTCAAAATGCTCTCTTTGAACTATATGATATGCGCTTTTGAATTTGTGGGTCAAAGTCGGCGGAAACTCTCTAAAAAGCCGAGTAGTTTTGACATCTGCTGTTCTTGCCTTCTCTATCTGATGAGCGCAATGGGAGGACGTTCCACTGCATAGTACCCGTCTAATCATAAGAGCACATGAGATACGGAGTCCGCGCTACTTCTTTGGAGTTCCACTGCAAAATTTTAAGGCATCTTTAAGGCAATATGTATTTATAAGAAAACAAGGCTGCTTTTACTGAACAGATTACTTTACATTGAGTTGCTCACAGTAATTTGTAGGAACTTTTGTCTCATGCGGAGCGTCACGTATACTTTTTTCATACACTATGAGCATAGCATTGTGCTAAAGTGATTGCAGAGATTCGTTCCCATTGTCAGCTCTATCGTAACTGCGGGCTTAGACTCACCTTCTGTTACTTGCTTATGTCCTTACCAGTTGGCGCCGCACGCATTGCGCGCGCAACACAGATCTGCGGCGAATTTTGATGGTGCGACGAAAATTTTCAAATTTGGCTTGATACACCACGAATATCTGAATTCTCAGCTAAATTCTATCCGCTCCATCATCGACGGCTTTCAACCTCTTTTTCTTCGTCAACCATTATCCTCTTTTTCTCGGTCTCCGGACTGCTTCCGGACAATAAATCTCGTGGCAAACTCCGCCTACTTCGGTGCGTGCCCCGCCCACCAATAGCATTTGGCCCCCTTCCTTTCGCCGACCTCTACCCCTTTTTTCACCGGTCTCTGGGACCTCTTGGAAGCAGCTGATCTCTTTTCCCTCGCCAACCTCTAACCCCGTTTTCCCTATCTCTAGGACTTCTTGGAGCCGAGTTATGAATTTTCGTCGCAAACTCCGCCCACTTTGGTCAAGCCCCGCCCACCGATGACAGCTGGGCTCCACTCCTCCACCCACCTCCATCCACCTTTTTCCCTGCCTCCGGGACTTCTTGGAGCCGAATTACAATTTCGGCGCAAACTCCGCCCATATTAGCGCACGCTCCACCCAACCGTAGCAGTTAACTTCTCTTTCTTTGCTGACCTCTATCCACTTTTTTCCCGTTCTCCAGGACTTCTTGGAACCGAGTTATGAATTTTCGTGGCAAACTCCGCCCACTTTGGTCATGCCCCGCCCACCAATGACATTAAGCTCCACTCCTCCACCCACCTCTATCCACCTTTTTCCCGGCCTCCGGGACTTCTTGGAGCCGAGTTATGAATTTTCGTCGCAAACTCCGCCCACTTTGGTCAAGCCCCGCCCACCGATGACAGCTGGCCTCCACTCCTCCACCCACCTCCATCCACCTTTTTCCCGGCCTCCGGGACTTCTTGGAGCCGAGTTATGAATTTTCGTCGCAAACTCCGCCCACTTTGGTCAAGCCCCCCACCATTGACAGCTGGCCTCCACTCCTCCATACACCTCTATCCACCTTTTTCCGGCTCTTTAAGACTTCCCCGACCCGAATTATGAGGGCTTGTAGAAAATGCTGTACACTTCAGAGCGCGCCCCGCCCATTCTGGGCAGGCCTCCGCCCACGTCATGTATGCAGGAAACACCTTAGACATTGCTCCCTTA